CTAAGAGACCTCAGCAGGCCCTCTGTTCCCTCCGTGTTCTATCAGTCAGTGCTTGTGTGCAGACCCAGTTACCTCTTGTTACCACAACCCTGGCGCCTACATCCCCTGTGTGCAGTGCAGACTGACGTACGATCTTAGCTTGGAGGGGCAGGAGCCTCTTCACTCTGAGCCCGGTCCACCTTCAGAGACATCATCATTAGTTAATCCAGACCAACCAGTGACTCACACTCTCTGCTCGCCCACCACAGCCCTAGTCTGCCGCACAGTCTAGCTGGGGGGTACTTATCATCGAGATGCCTATCATCATCATTAGTTGATCCAGACGAACCAGCGACTCATGCCCTCTACTCATCACCACAGAGCTAGCATCAATTAAGGGGGATACTTATCATTGAACGCCTATCATCATTATCAGTTGATCGCGACCTCCTCCCAGCCCTATGGTTGTGTATGTGTGTATGTACTCTGTATCTTAGATGTCCGCCCGTGGGCTGTGTATGTTCTTAATGTGTATGTGGACCCGATTTCATAGCAGACGCTGCTCCCCACCATGGAGCATCTGCGAGGTGAGTACTGAGTACTGGTGAGAGGTGCTCTTATCACCTCCACTAGTACATGTGTGTGTGTGTACCTTGAGCTATGTGTGTGTATAGTATGTGTGTATGGTATGTGATAGACCATTGTGTATAGTATGTGTGTATGGTATGTGATAGACTAATAACGTGGTTGTGCTATCTGGGGTGGTATCTCTGTGTGTGGGTGTATGTGGTAGAGACAGACCTATCTGGACAGGACTTCCCCCAAAGTCCGGACTGGACTTGAACCTGTGATCTACAGTATGAAACTGGAGGGTTCTACCACATGTACTTCCGTGGGAAGTGGATATAATGTGTGTAATGTCTGGGCGGGGGAGATCATCAGAGCGACCAAAGCCACCAGCAACTAGCTACCAACGTGAAGTCTAGGCCAGCATGCAACACCCATGTTTTTTTTTTTTTTTTTTTTTTTTGAAAGACTCTGCAGGATCTAATAGGTTGAGTAGTAAGAGCACCTCAACCTTTTTTTTTTTTTTTTTTTTTTTTAATGGGAACAAAGCTCCAATCTATTCGTGGGGAGCAGCACTTGCTGGGAATACGGTTCTGAGGACTTTTTCAAAGAGGTTCAATAATAAGTGGGAACGCTGGGTATTTTGCCTCACCAGATGGTCCTGGAAATACAGTGTGAGACAGCTGTGTGGATGAGAATACTGCGGACACTTTTTGAAAGACTGACCGGCTGAAAATGAGGCTGAGGGTTTTTTCCGTCGAACAGACGGAACTAGCTTACTGGGATTGGGTCAGGTTACAGTCTGGGTACCTCTTACAATGGGACCACTAGAGAAAGATGGGAAACCGGTACTTTGGGTTTTCTTGGACTTGGTTTTGTTCCTGATTAGAGTTGAACCACCGAATACGAAGAGTAAAGGCTTGGTCGGTTAGTATAAGTTGTTTATCTCTGGGTTTCTTGGCCATTCCAGCCAGGTTGACCCCTACAGACGCCAGACTGGCGACTGGTAGAAACCGGTCGGGTCATATTGCCAGAAGTGTGCGCTATTTCGATGAATTTCACAAGGCGCCACCTGCGCTCGGAGTTTTGCGTTTTCGTCTCTCTCTCTCTCTCTCTCTCTC